ATTAATCCCAGAGCCCCCAGCCTGAGGAAGAACTGCCTCGTCCTCAGGGGGCACAAAAGCACACCAGAAGTCTGAGTGGGGTAGGGAACACACAGGGCAGGGAAGTTCCAAGTCTTCACATATCTTCAAGGAGACTTTATTTCTTTTTCCCTTACCAGCCCTAAAATTTGCGGGTCCTCTTAAAAGTGGTTGTTTCTAAGAATACATAAATAGCAAAAATACATTTTTTAACTGTTTCTAGATATTAAAGTAGAAAAAATTTAAACCAACATGGAGCCATTTGCGGTCAATTATCTCCTACTAAAAAGTACTGTCTTTGTTTGCACATCATGCCTGCCGAGTGCTCACATAGAGCCTACCTGGCTCCAGGACTGTTATCCATGGGCTCAGAGATGTCCCTTACAGACTCACTCCAAAAAAAAAAAGCAAACAGGTCCAGACTTGGCATGGCTGAGCCCTGGGGCAATGAGCTGACATCAACACATTAGCTCCAAACCTGAGTACCTGCAAGCCAGGGAGAGGGCCTGGCAGAGCTGCTAACAAGTCAGATTCCAAAAAACCTGACAGACTGGAAAAGCCATTACAGATGAGGATGACTAGGTGTCCGCAGATCGACCACATAGCCTCACCTAATTTTATTTCTCTGGTGACCAGAATGGCAGGAACTTTAACCATGTAACTCTGAGCTCTAATTAAGGTTTGCTAAGAGCTTTATGACCTGCCCACACAGTTAGCCTGGGAATGCAAAAGCACCTCGGTCACAGTGCCTCTGTTATTATTTTCTTGTTGTTAGTATTATTCCTGCTTTATAATAATGATTCAGAGCATAATTGATTCTGAGGGTTCTGTGTTTGTTTGTGTTCGTTCGAGGGGGGAGTGATGAGTTTATTTGTAACGTGTCCTCCTTCCTTTCTGACAATGATGCAGACAATGGATGCGGCAGGTAAGACGGCCATGCACTAAAACACCCATCTCCTCTCCTCCATCCTCCTCTTCTCAGCAGAACTGGATATGAGGTGACTCGTTGGGGAAGAGGGTCGAGGTGCTATCTCTGGGCCACTCCTGACATGTTCACCACATACACACATTGGTTAGTATGGGATTCAAACCCAGGCATCAATTCAGAAACCTCTTTAGTTCAGATTCTATGGCTTGGGATTTAGGTGCTAGAACAAAACAACTGGCTAGAGGCTGAAGCTAGACATTTAACTTTCAGATGCATTTAATTCAGAACTAAAAAGAAACATACCCACAGGGTGCCTGGGTGGCTCCGACTCAGCGTCAGACTCTTGATTTTGGGCTCAGGTCATGATCTCAGGGTTGTGAGATGGGGCTCCGCACTGGGCATGGAGCCTGCTTAAGGTTCTCTCTCTCCCTCTCACTCTGTCCCCCCAACCCTCTATCCCTCTCAAAAAATGAAACAAAACAAAGAAAAACTGTTAAGAAACATACCCCCACCCATACCCATCCACTCCGTCCAAACATGACACCATTGTTCGGCTGTCAGACAATTCATTCTATAAACAGCTAGGGGGTGAAGACTACAAAAAGTCAAACTCTGACCTATTCACTTCTCAAAGTTAAGAGCCAAATAAACACAAAATCTTTGCATTTGGGGAATCTTTGAGGTGTATCAAGTCCAGATTTCCACACAACATACTGAACTCCCTCAATAACATTACCAATCAGTGGTTATGCACCCTTTGAATAAGGCAGGAGGTAGATTTATTTACCTTGAAATTAATGAAGTGTCAAGTCAGGGCCTCTCAATTGCAAGGACCTCTTCCAAGCCCTGTACTTAACTCAGTATCCAACATTTGTATTATTTGTCTTAAAGAGGGCCCCCCAAAAGTATAAGCTTCAAGCTTCGCAAAATCTAAGGTGGGGACAATAATACTGCAAAGGGCAATCCAAAGTATGTTTATGGCAAAATAAAATCTGTTTCCCTACAGATATCCCCAAAATATCAGAAATGTGTTTTTGGTCACATAGTGGTATTTCTGAGATTGCATGTATTCATTGAGTAAGTAGAGCATTTAAGAGGGTCATCTGGAAGTCCTGCATTTAGATTTAACACCAATTGCTCTTTTTTGCCCCAGTACCTTTGACAAGGCTGTTCCCTCTTTCTGGAAGCTCTCACCCCTTTAGTCAGACTATCTCCTACTTGGCTCTTGGATCTCAACTCATACTCCCTCAAGACTGTCCTCTCTAACTTCCCTGATCAGGTCAATGCTCATCTATACAGTGTCATCGCATCACACTTCTTTGCGGCACACAGAACACTGTAATTTCACCCATATTTGCGCAGTTGCTTATTACATTCCCACTTCTGCCATCAAACTAAAAGATGCATGAGACCAAGATATTATCTTCCTTTTCTCACCCCTGCAAGCCCAAGCTCAGCACAGAGCCTAGCATAAGACATACCTGTAGATTAAATCAAAAATGCACAATGAGGGCTAAAAGGAGTTGATAAGAAAAGGTCCTCTGGATACAGGTTAAACACAAATTCAGTAAAAACTAAAAGTCATTGTTACTAAGAATTACATTTTAGCTCATTATAACATACATTGTCTGACAATTACTTGCTGTCCAACAATGAAATAGGCTATCTTAAAAAGTGGAATGTGTCCTTCAGAAGGATATGTTTACTACTAAGGATGTTGAAGAAGGAAATTCCATAGAGGTCTAGAGTTGGACCCAGATCAGCTAGATCATTTAAGATTTGTCCCAACTAGAAACCTGGTAGGTCTAGGGTCACTGACATACAGCTTTTATTGATGGCTTTATGATGATCTGCATGTGTGTGGATATAGTTCCGTGTTTAAGAATAAAGACATTAACAGAACTAAATAGTTAGAAATTTATATTCAATATAGGTAGAAACCAACCCATAGGAGTAAGTATATGTACGCAAATAAAAACACAAGCACTGATAATAACTTAATTCAAGAATGAATAAAGATTCTTCCCAAGATGGAGTAGCAAAGGCTGAATTTAACCTCCATCTGAATCAGCTAGAAAAGAAAACAATGAAACAATTTCAAGAAATTGAAAAATAAGAAGCACAGCCTGTGATCCCTGAGAGGAGAGGAATAAAGGAGGTGACCCCTGAGATTGAGCCAGCTTATTTCTAGAGGCCATATCCAGGCTGCAACATGGGGAAAGGGAAACCCAGACAGAGCCCAAGGTCTTACTGAGTGGGAAAGAGAGAGATCAGAGGTCAGAGAGGCCATGGTGCCAGGGGTGGGGAAAGAACCAGGAGAATGAGTAAGCAGAAAAGTTTTTGGAACTCATACAGGGCTGGAAATAATTCATGTTCTAGAGTGGAATGCAAAGGCCATTAGATGAGGCAGGGTTGGCAAACTACAGCCCACAGTCCAAATCCAGCCCACAGATGGTTTTTGAAAATTGCAAACTAAGAATTATTATTATATTTTTTTAAAAGTTACAAAATATACACAAAGAAAAATAGGCAACAGAGATTATATACAGCAAATAAACCCTAAAATATTACATATGGCCCCTTACCAAAAGCGTTTGCCAATCTCTGAAATAGTGTGAGAAAGTTACCAGTTTAGTAGCGGGGATAAATTAGCCCTAAGCTAAAGGCTGCTCGGCACTCGCCCTAACAAACTTAAAAACAATCCTCAAAAAGATTCTACAAACTCACAGTAACTTAGCTAACAATGAACTAAATCTAACACTATGTAATGAAATACAACAAAATCCAGTGCCCCGAGACATAAAATTCACATTGGGCATCCAATAGAAGATGGCCAGATTTGTCAGGCTCCCTGCTCAATGGGAAGTCTGCTTTTCCCTCTCCCACTGCCCCTCCCCCTGCTTGTGCTCTGGCTCTCTCTCAAATAAATAAATAAAATCCTTTTTTAAAAATGTCAGATTTGCAAATAAACAAGAAAATATTACCCTGTATTGTTTACCCATTGCTGCATAATGCACTGCTTCCAAAACTTGGTGGCTTCAGACAATAATCATTTATTACTTCTTATCATGTTTGTGAATCGGGAATTCTGCCAGATCACAGTGGGGAATGCTTGTTTCTGCTTCACAGTTTTGGGGGCCCAAGTTAGAAGATTTGAAGTCTAGGGGCTGGAATGTTCTGAAGTCTCATTCGTCTGTGTATTTGGCAGTTGATGCTAACTGGCAGCCACCTCTAGTGAGGAGAGGGTTAATCACAGATCTGGTTGTTTATTCCTTGCCTATCTCCAGAAGAATCTGGAACCATGGATGACCATTGGCCAACCACTAGGAATAGGGCCCTTAGATGTCAGATGATGATTTTGTTTGTGTACACCTGGAACAATGGGCTGGGCTGGACTAGCTTGTCAAGTTGCTTTGCACAAATATCCAAATTAATGATGTGCACCTAGTTTCATTGTTGAGGTCCTGAGTTTCAGTTGCCACGGCTGATAGCAGAGCAAGATATGCTCATGGGACCAGCGCGCCAAAAAAGCCTTGGACCCTAAGACTCCAGCAGGATTCCCTGTGTAGACACATTCCAGACATGTTCTTATCAGTTGCTGTTGGAGAGAAAGCATGTCATGTGTGGCCTCTGTTGAAAGGCTCTGAAGCCTAAACTGAATATGTCTGAACTCTGCCCAGTGAAAATATCTTCCTTGCTGCTTGACTCAGGTATCTCTTACTATAGTCAATGTTAGCTGTGAATATAACCTTCTCTTGAGTCTTGTGAGTCCTTTTGGCCAATCATCAAACTTGGGGTAGTTATTGGGACCCTCAAAAACACCATGGGAATACAAATCAAAGGAAAGCTAAGTGTATAAGTTATCCATTGCTGTGTGACAAATTGCCCCAAATGCACCTGTTTCAAACAACAAACATTTATTATCTCGTAGTTTTGTGTATTAAGAATCTGTGGGTGGCTTAGCTGGGTGTTCTTGTTCATGGTCTCTCCCAGTCTAGGAGTTAGACTCCTTGGCTTGGCTGGGCCTGGAGAATCTGCCTCCAAACCCACTTACCCAGTGGTTGGCAGAAGGCTTCAGCTCCTTGCTGCTTGGATTCTCCATAGGGCTGCTCATGACATGATTTCCCTCAGAGGAAGTGTTCTGAGAGAGAAAGAGAAGTCACAGACTTTTATCATCTAATCCCAGAAGGGAAATAACTTTACTTTTATCATATTTTATTAGCCACACAGGCCCATTTTGGTACAATGGGAGAGAGGACTACACAAGAGGGTCTATACCAGGGGGTGGGGATCATAGGGGACCATCTTGGAGGCTACTAGAACAGCTATTTAACAAGAGACAAGGTAGATTCCACAAGAAGGAATATTATCAGGGATAAAGAGGGACATTTCATCAGAGTAAAGGGGTTAAACCCTCAAGCAAATGAAAAATCCTATACTGAGTTTCATGCCTAATTCAAATAGAGGTTTTCTCCATGTGTGTTTGTTGTTATAAACATCTTCCACAGGGGATATTTAGCACATTTCTAACTCCATCTGCATTCCATCATCACCTTCATTGTAGTTGTCCTCGTTGACATCAAGGGAATCAAAATCCAGTATTTTCTCCTTTAGTAAAATAATTACGGAGATGCTATAAAAAAAAATAAAAATAAAAGCTCATTTGTAAATAGTTCTGCTTTGAATAAAAAAAAGCTCAGTGGGGAAAAACGTCCCCTAGGTGTTAAGAAAGGGTGTGCAGATTTCAAGAAGTCACAGTTCAGCAGAGCAAGCAGGAAATCATAACCGCAAACAAGAAACAAGGCCAAGACATCAGAGGAGATGGATATTTTTAATGATTGATAGGCCAGCCAAATCTTACACGGATGTCTGGGAAGTGGAGAGATGGTACTGGAAATTCATTAACCAGGCCATGAGCATGTGAGGGTCAGACTGTCTTGTTCATTACTGACATCTTGGTGCCTAGCACATGAGTACATTGATGTAAAATGTTTATCTCTTTATGGAAAAAAGAAACAGTCTGTAATGGGAGGGCCTGCCAAAATGCACCAACAGTTTTAAAGACATCGTTTAAATAAATCCTCCAGAATATATACTCTTATGTTTTAAGACTAGTGTATCTGGTCTCTTCCTAAATTCTAATAGCTTGTGATAAGAAGAAAAGAAGAATCTGGAAGTAAATTACATACAAGGTTTCAAATTTCCCCTGGCATTCAAGACTCCCCATGATCTGGTTTCCATTTATTTTTCCAGATTTTTCTATCAGTTTTACCTTCTAGAAATCTGCCATTCCAGTCAAATTAACCAAATACTATATTTTCTTGATTTAATTTGTACATTTATCCCACTTTTTAGTATCTCTGAAATCAGGAAGTGTTTTACAATCAGTGCATCTGGATTATGGCCCTCTTTTACATATATCTTTTACATTTTCTTCTCTCAGAGGTTAGGTGAAAGGTATTTTTTCTGCCTCTTTTACATCAGTTGAAATCCAACCAATCTTTACAGATGCAATTTGAATCCAAAATCTCCTAAAAACCCTTCCTGACCAGCCCTTCCAAAAGTTAATTTACTTTCTTCTGACCGACAGGGTAACCAAAATCCAAATTTACAAATTCTGTACCTTAATATGTAGTTACATGTGTCCCCATCTTATTTCTCCTCCCAGATTATAAGCAGCCAGGGGACCGAAACTGTGTCTCTCAAAACTTGCATTTCACATAGCAGGCAACACATATTTTCCTCATTTCCATGATCAGTAAATATTACTTCAGTGAACGAAGGAATGTGTTAATAACAATACACAATTATATTTAAAAGAATGTAACTTATTACAAATAATGGGAACAGTAACAATAGGAGAGGATGCCCATGGTTAGACAGGAAAAAAAGCAAGCTGCAGAACAGTACGTACAGAAGGTCATTTTTGCCAAATCAACAGCAAATTCCTCCCTGGCATAGAGGATATGAATGTTGTATTTTATACACAGAATGTTGTTTAGAAGAACACAATCCTAATGGTTAGCATCAATTATCCCTGGAAAGTAGGATGGAGTCCTTGAAATTAGGAAAGTTCACAAGAGATTTTCCCCCTTTAGTTGTTTACTTCACACACGCACACACACAACAAAAGTCAACAAAGTATATGAATTGGTTTTGCAGTGAAAATTCAGGGGAAAAAAGAGGAAAGGCTGGCTCTCTCGCAGGTATGTAGCTTTGCGGGGAAGGGGAAAGAGAAAGCCCAAAATTCAATACATAGAAAGTTGTGAGTTATGAGATATGACAACCAAGAAATAAGATTAATTCAGAAAACTATAGAAGAAAAATAAATAGTTTTCTGAACTCAGTTGTAACAGAATTCTGGGGCCTAATACACTGGTTGCTTTAAAACCACGATCACACAAAAGAAAGTGGAAAGGTCAGGGCAGTGGGTCAGAGTAGGGAAGTCAGTTCCTTTAACAACAAAAACCCCCTCTTGCTTATGTTAAAGTATAACTGAAGCAAGATTCCTATTCAAGAAACATCTCTCAAATGTGTTTTTCTCATCAGAGTGGCCCCATCAGAGGTGTACTGCAGGTAGAAAACACTGTGTATTTACATGGAATCCCATGACACAGTTGATGTTAATTAGACACGCTGGATGAGTGAGATATTTCTATCTTTACCTTTAGTAACAAACAGTTAACTTTTTAATTTAATTTAATTTTATTTTATTTTTTATTGCTAACCATGCACCGGGCACTGTGCTAAGTATTTTACAGATTTTATTTGATTGGTGACTCCTAACAACTCTATGACATTATTCTCCCCATTTCACAGATGGGGACAGTAAGACATGGGTTAAGCAAGTAATGGTATCAAGTTTGAACTCAGGACATCTGTTCATTGATGCAGAATTCCTTATTCTTTGCCTCTCCACAAACATGCCTGTCACATAACCATACCTATCATTGCTACACATCCCACTGTTCCCGATTTCACTTTCTTACTGCACGATTGCCCTCCTTTGTGCCAACATAACACAAGACTCACCATCACACAGCTAAGTTCTTCCAACCTCTCAGCTTCCTGTTTTTATTAGAAACATAAAGAACGTTCTGCTGGAAAGCAGATGTTCCTAAATATCACTATTTCCCCTTGCTAACTTGTAGCTCTACCACTCCTTAATTCACCTATTGTCTCTTCCGGACAGTACATGCTTTCTGCTTTACTCCATGTAGAGACAGAGAAGTATGCTAGTCACTGCATAAAACATACAGAGTAACAATCCCTTCCACACCAATTTTGAAGTCCAAAGAGGTTTGATAAATGAAAGACTTTTTATAACTCATTTGATATCAAATCCTGGCCAGACCTAACCTCATTTAGCAACAAAACCTGCCCTGAACTGACTCGAGGCTATTTTTGATCTTTATTGATCACAGTCAGTGTGAATTTTCATACATTTCACTGCTGAAATATCAATTTGCTTTATCACAGGGTGCTGTCCAGATCTCACTCAGGGTTTTATGTATGATATGGTATATTTACCTTTTTACCTACCCAAGAGCCAAAAAATCCTAAATTACAAAATACTTCTGGACCCTGAAGGTTTCAGATACATGATTTCAGATGTGTATTTCCTTTCTCTTAACACCCCACCTTTTTTTAAAGAGGTAAGCTAAGTGTTTTCCCAAGTCTAACAGTTAGATTTGGTGAATATATATAGATTTGTCTATGCCATGTTATACAAATACTTTGTAACTTTAGAAAACTTAGCTGTTACAGAGGAAAACTTTGTTTTCCCCTTCAAACCGTGTCTCATTGTGCGAGACTGCTTTGTTAGACCACTGGTTGGTTGTTTTACTAACTCTTTTGGAATACATAAATCAGTTTATAATTCCATGTGGGGTCAGATTAACCATAAAGTGATTAAAATTAAGGTAATCCAGGGGCGCCTGGGTGGCTCAGTCAGTTAAGCGTCCGACTCTTGATTTCAGCTCAGGTCATGATCTCAGGGTCAGGGATAGAGCCCCACAGTGGGCTCCACACTGAGGTGGAGCCTGCTTAAGATTTTCTCTCTCTCTCCCCCTCTGCCCCTCCCCGCTTTGTCCCCACCCCCCCATGTGTGCCCTCTCCCTCTCTCCTTCTCTCTCTCTCTCTCAAAATAAATTAAATTAAATTAAGGAATCCAGATAAGGCTTAAATTTCTGACTGATCTGGGTTCTTTTTTTAAATCTGAATTTTCTGGATACATTTACATAGACTCACAGGGTTCATTTTCCCATCCCTCTGTCATGATTTTCTGGTATTCTGGTTGGTGTGCTCTCCCAACCTTTAGCGCTAAACCATAGCATCTGAAGATCCATTAAATCTGGCCCTTCAGAAATTTTAAAAAATGCCATAGAATTATCATTCATTAGCTGAAATTTTCCATGATAGATATCTGAGTCACAAAATTTAATTCTAAGAGCCAAGGAAAAATTCCCAAACTAAGGAGACGGAAACACACTTCTGACTTAGGGCACTTTCTTGTTTTTCTGTGGTAAATCAGTTGCTATGACAGTAGACTCACTCAGAGAACATGCAACTAACTGCTTAAAATAGCCAAGGAGCACTTTTCCCTAAGGAAGCAGATTCTGCAAGAAATTACTAAGTCTTACAGAATTTATATGAGCACTGTTTCAGCCGTCAATAACTAGAGTTACAGAGTAGGCTTGAAAACATCTGTTGTTTAGGGTTTTTAAATTTCAGCAGAGAAAAAAGGGAAATTCCTTAGTGTTTAACACAGATAGATATATGCCTGTTGTTGGAAATGCCTTCCATTTGGTTCAAGTTGAAATCACTTTGATTTCAAGCCCACACTTTAAAAGCATTAATTAATCCTTATAACATCTGGGTGGCATAAAGAAATGCCATTGAGCCCGTTTTACAGGGCACTGATTAAAGATGCCAAGTATATTTCCACCTTAAAGTAAACTTTTCATTCAGAAATACAACTGAAGACCTCAGACTCTGCTCCCTGAGTAATTGCTATGTGATAGGACTGCTTTTCTCCATGTACTAAGTTATTCTTGGTGATGCTAACGGTCTGCCCTTTCCCTTCACAGAATATTTGTTGAGCAAGCAATGGGATTGGGGACCTAAGGGATGCAGGAGGAGAGCAATGGGCTCCCCTCCATTTTCTGGGGGAGGGAGCATGCCAGAAGTGTTCCCGTGGCTTAGCAATAGCTCTCTCAGTTGCCATCCTCCTTAGCAAGCATCCAGAGTTCCTGATCCCTTACCTCCTCTTTCACAACGAGGCCAGGCTACTCTTCTCCAAATTCTTCTGTGGAGTTTCCCTCATTGGCCATTCTTGCACACAGACCTCACTCTGCTGCCAAAAGCAATAAATGGCCCGTCAGACTTGATGTGCGTGGGGCTATTACCAAATGGAAACTGAAAGCCAGAGAATTTCATCTCCATGTGGTACCAGGGCTATTTCAGAAAGCAGAAGTGCCAGATTCATCCTTTAGTGATGGTATTCACAGGGTAATTGGAGAGTACAGAGAAAAACCCTCAAGAAAATCTGAAGTAATAAATTGTAGTTGGGGAATTCTGAAAAGACAAAACATGCTACAGACTTTTTTACTTCTCTCTTTTTAAACAGCTACCTACCTTGTTTATGTACTAAGCACATAGTTCCCTAAATGGGGAAATCACTCAGGTTCTCTCATCCTATGATATTTATTTTCTTTATTCTGCTTCCACTTAAAATTTTTCTCTTTCCCTCTTTTTTTTTTTTTTTGGTAAATACACTTCTAAGGATAGAGGAAATCCATTAGCACTTATTATCTGTTGAGCGAGCATGGTGCTTACCCAGCACGAGAAGCCAGTGAACGCAAATGCTCCGGGCTTGGCCTGCCCTCGGGGAGCTTACCTTCTGGGGACCTAAAAGAGCCTGAGGAGCAAAGCTGTCATAAACAAGTCACATGTGTGGTGCTGCTTTGAGGGTTTGGCATTTGTTGGAAACGAAGAGGATACGTCGATCTACATCTGATATTCAGGATCAAGTATCAAAATGAAATCCTGTAGCAGGCTTCGGCATAACACCAAATTTGAATTCCAGGGGATATTCTGGGCATTATACTGGAGTTTGGGTAAGCACCATGCATGACCTAAAATAATACTAAAACCACTGGTTGAAAATTAAAACATTTTAAAGTTTATAATAAAAAGATACATTGGTATATCTCTGTATTCTTTGAATGGAATTTAGCCAAAGATAGGTGTTAAAAATTAGTCATTACAGTCAGGTGATTTTACCAGTTGCTCATTTATGCAGTGAATACATGAGGGTTGCAAGTAGGGATTGCATTTGTCTGTCTTCTGGGGCCTAATTTTTTATTGGTAGTCCTCATCTCCCCCCGCCCCCTTCCTGGAAGCTACAGATCTCACTTCTAGGTCCATCTACATTCACACTGTGTCTGAGGAGATGCCATAGCCTCTCCCGGTTAGCCTCTGCTTGACTAACTTCACCCTTAGGAGATACTGTCCTACTAGGTTTGCTTCGAATATGTAGGTTTTTTTACTCTCTCCTCAGAAGTTACTACTATACACCCTTCGGGCTCCATGACAAAAAACCTCTTTGTCTAGAGCCAGCCCACACTCTGCCATAGAAGGATTCCCTCATTTGGGAAATCAGACCCTCTCAACAAATTGGCTCTGCTCTTAATGCTCCTGTGAGTCCAGGTTAAATGCTTTTGCTAATATAGTTGTCAAGAAATTGTGTTTGGGACCTGGGCTGAGAAACAGATGTCAAGATCTCCAGCTGCAGCCCTGTACCTGCAGACCAAGGTTAGCAGGGCCAAAGAACAGGATGTCCAATCAAGAGTTTGCCAGTCTTCCAGTTCCTAAATGAGGCTGAGAAAGAGAAAGAGATTTGGAAAAGTGCCTGGACACTACTCTTGAATAACCACATCAGGCCCCTTTTAATTATTTATAGCAAATAGACATAAATCTAAATGAATCTCAAGCTAGCAAGGGACATTATCTAAGTTCACTGGAAAGTGCTCAAGCCGTGGAGTTACTGAGGGATGCTGGGCCAGAGATGGACAGCCATGGGATGCCAGTGAGCAGGCCAGGCCAGCAGAGCCATCTGACCCCAGCAGGGCCGTAGACAGACTCTAAGGGGACAGTAAAGAGTTGCCCTCTTTCAGCATATCCTCTTCCAAGGATAATGGCCAAACACATTTGCCTGAGCAGTTCAGTGGAGGATCTCAGTACAAAAAGCAGATCCACAGGGTGCCTGGGTGGCTCAGTTGGTTAAGCATCTGCCTTTGGCTCAGGTCATGATCCCGAGGTCCTGGGATCGAGCCCCACATCGGGTTCCCTGCTCAGTGGGGAGTCTGCTTCTCCCTCTGCCTCTCCCCACTGCTCGCGTGTGCTCTCTTTCTCTTGCGTGCACGCTCTACTCTTTCTTTTTCTCAAATAAAGAAATAAATAAAATCTTTAAATTTAAAAAAAAGCAGATCGCGTAGAGGATCTCTGTACAAAATCTTGTAATCTTTATTAATATACCTCTGTAGCATTTCCTTTTGGACTTGGTATTACTAATATGTTTGCATGTCTCCCTGCTAGCTTCCACCTAGAAGTTATCTTCTAAGTTTTAACCAGTTATTCCAAATGTTATCTCAAATCATAATTATTTATTCTAGCAAAAACCTCAAGATACTTATTCCATTTTTTTTTAACCTAGCCCAATAAATAACACCAGATTTGCATATATGGATATCTACAACAATGACATGCAGCAGGCAGAGCCCAACCCCGGCATAATTCTGGGAGTTTGATCACCTTATGGTCCAGGAGGCATAGAGGCCTTAACAAAAGCATCCACTGGTATGATGTTTTGTATATGTCCTTCCCATGTTCCTCCATGTACATATATTTATATATGCATGGCACCATTACCTATAAAGTAAAAAACTGGAAGCAACCTAAATGTCCAAAACTGGGGAAATTTTTATCGACATTGTATTATATCTAGAACATTCTGCAGCTATTTCAGTGATCTTTATAATATTATGTAGGAATATGGGAAAAGAATTACGGGCCTGTTTAAGTGAAAAGGTCAGGATACAAAATTATTTGGATGGCTTGACATAACCTGTATAAAAATAAATGCGCACAGCAGGATGGGGGAATACTGGAAGGATATGTGCAAACGCGGATAATAGTTGACATTTTGGGGTGTATGATTATATGCCATTTCCTTCTCATTTTTCAAAATTTTCACAATGTTACTACATTGTTTTTACACAAAATTGAGCATATTATACATACATACCTACATATATACATGCATGCCTTGTCCAAGACAGTTTAAGACTGTGCTAGGCCGTGGATTTTAATATTATTAGTTATAAATAGAAGTAATAAAAGGTTTTATTCAAACTGGTTTAACCTAGGGTATTTATTGGAATTTATCATTAAAAAGTTCAGAAGATGGGGCACCTGGGTGGCTCAATTGGTTAAGTGTCTGCCTTCGGCTCAGGTCATGATCCTGGGGTCCTGGGATCGAGCCCCACATCGGGCTCCCTGCTCAGCAGGAGGCCTGCTTCTCCCTCACCCTCTGCTTGCCTCTCTGCCTACTTGTGCTCTCCCTCTCTCTCTCTTTGTAAAAAAAAAAAAAAAAAAAAAAAGTTCAGAAGATGGTCCACCCCCAGGGTGAACTGTTCCAGAGATGCATAGAATCCTTGGTGCTGGGGCCCCGTTACTCTTGACTCTGCCTTCCTGCATGTATCAGCCTTTTTGTCACACTTCCTCCCTTGTGGCAGAAAAATGGCTGCAGCAGCTCCATTTTAGAGAAAGAGGAAGGTCAACTTTTCCCCCAGTTATCCAACAACAGTCTTTGTTTCACTCTGATTGGACCAGTATGGACCAGTTGCTGAGTCCAGGTGACTGCTACACCAGCTTAAGGTTAAATTATGCCAGCCACACACCCGTCTGTGGTAGGCTGATCACTTCATAGATATTTGCTGTCTCTCCGTGTGGGAGGATTATACTTCCCCACCTCACTGACGTCGGGTGGAACCGTAACTGCACTGGCTATTGAAATGCAAAATGCCAATATTCAATACCAAGACGTGACATAGTTGTTGAACTCTACAGTTGGCTTCACTGAAGCCATTTTGTTCCTTCTGTCAGGTAGAAGCGTTTCAGAGTCAGGGTGTGGTTTGCCATACTCCCTTTCCCCTCCGCTGCAATCTCTGGCAATATTCCAAACAGAGGCTTCAATGTCAGCTTAGGTTCAAGAATAAAGATGAAACTGAATCGAGCCACAGACAACCCAGACTGCGCATGTAGCATGAGCACAACTTTTGTTATCATCCGCTGCTGAGATTTGGGGGTTGCTTGTTACTAAACATAACCTAGCCTACCTTGACTTGGCTTGAGTCTTAGCTTAGCCATTTCCCAGCTACATGAAGTTGGATAAGTCATTTCACTTCTCTGCACTTATTCTCTTTATTTGCAAAATAGAGATGATATGTAAAACTCCTCATACATGCAGTAGTCCCCCCTTAACCATGGGGGATGCATTCCAAGGCCCCCAGTGGATACCTGAAATGAAGGATAGTACCAAACCCTATAGATACTAGGTTTTTTCCTATACATACTTACTTATACATACATACTTACGATAAAGTTCAATTTCTAAATGGTACACAGTAAGATATTAACAATAATAACTAATAAAGTAGGACAATTATAACAATATACTGCAATAAAAGTTCTGTGTATGTGGTCTCTCTCTTAAAATATCTTCTTGTACTGTACTCACCCTTCTTGAGATGATGTGAGATGATAAAATGCCTACGTGATGAGATGAAGCGAGGGGAACAACATAGGTGCTGTGACGCTGAGTCAGGCTACCACCGATCTCATGACATGTCAGAAAGAGGACCGTCTGCTTCTGGACTGAGGTTGACTGTGGGGAGCTGAAACCACAGAAAACCTGTGGAGAAGGAGAGACTGCTATACTCAAAAATGACAACTATTATTATTTGTTGATAATAAGAATGATAGTTCGTACTTCCATGGGGGATTTTCTTGGAATTTATCTGAGTGATTTTCAGGGAGGAAGAAAGACCATCTGAAAGAGGAGGTGTATTGTATTCCTTTTTACCAAGACAAAGTTACCTAAAGTTTCAGTATATATACTAATTATCTGTAGATAGAACAAGAAATTCTTCCTCAAGATATAAATGTTAGTTCCTTGGAATGTTCTTTCTTTTTTAAGAAATAAAAAAAGATTAACCCGAAATTTCATATGGGAAAAATGCTTTCTCATGTTCAATACCAAAATGTGATAAAGCTATTCAACAGTACAGTTGGCTTCACTGAAGGAATTTTGTTCCTTCTCTGAGTTATCTATTATTGAAGATAGCCAAGCAATGGATATTGAAATAGATGATTTTTCTATTCCATTGTGAAAACTCTTGTGTTCCCCAAACCCCTTCCCATAAAGTGATGTATTCTTGTGTGTGTGTGTGTGTGTGTGTGTGTGTGTGTGAGAGAGAGAGAGAGAGAGAGAGAGAGAGAGAGATTATAGTCAGAGGAATGCAACTTAAA